ACAACATATAATTTCCCTCTGGGATTAATAAGTTATTTTTGAATAGAATTTGAATTGAATTGAATTAAATCCCTGCTTCTGCCTGCATTCTGCATTATTCAGACATGGACCCTGCTCTGACATGTCTGCTTTAGGATCTCACCTGTTTGCGTCGTCGGCCACGCGCGTCCACTGAGTGCAGCGCCTGGACGTCCATTTGGGCCATGGATTGCTTTCTGGCAGTATAGTCCCATCTGAAGCTTAATTGAACTTAATTTTACCTCTTTCAAGGCCGGTCAGCTGGCTGCATGCGGTTGGTGATTGTAATGCAAGCCATGTTGCCATATAATTGGATTGTATGGCAAGCCATGTTGCTATGTAATTGGATCACCAGCCGCGTGCGTTCGCTGATGCATTCAAAAGCCGGACACCAACATGGCCCGCCCATCCAGCACATTCTGAATTTGGGCTGGGCCAGGCTTTGGGCCTGGGTTAGAAATAACAGCCCTACTCCATGGCCTGACAATCTAGGCTAGCTGATAAAAGAATAGCCACTAGGACACAGCTCAGTAAGAGAAATAAAATCAGAATCATGCTGCCAGGTCTCAGTTAGAAACATAAAATCCAGTTTTTGGAACTTTATGAAGTCATTTAGCAAGAACAATTTGTTAGTTCTTGAACGAACATTAAACAATGCCATACGCAGTGGGGCAGAGGACGGGATTCTTGCTGCAGCAGCCTGTTTCAGACATCAGAGAAACTGAGGGTTAGATCCACAAATATCACGTATTCCATCAACGAAAGCAAAAAACAGCGATGAGTCTGGAGCTTCTAGATAAACAGACTGGAGGTAGCAGTAGCGCAGAGGTCCAAGTAGAACATAGCCAGGTTGGGATGTGTTTGTAAAATTCCTATTGGTTCAAAAGCCAGAGCAACAGGTTGTAAGAGTTTTATGGAGTCATTTGCCAATGACCCCTCACTTCCAAATAAGCCTGAGCTTCACCTGGACAATGACTCTCTTGCCTCTCTTCCTCTTCCTCTGAGATCCACACGAACCCAGCGAAGGGTTGCAGAAATCGCCAGAAGGGAAGCCACTCATTGGTGAGAATAAGCTGGCACCTGAGGGTGGGGCGCAGCTCCTCTGCATGGACCCCCGAATAGACAGCAGCATTGACCTGTCATAGACCACCGTTTATTATTAACCATTATTTATCCAGGCAAATCCCACTGAGATCACAGATCTCTTTTGCAAGGGAAGCCTGGATCTGAAGGCAGCCCAACATGCATGTTTTTGGTCTGTGGGAGGAAACTGGAGTACCTGGAGAAAACACGCAAGCACGAGAAGAGCATGCAAACTCATCACAGAAAGACCCCAGGTCCAACCAGGGATTGAACCCAGGGCCTTCTTGCTGTGAGGCAACAGTGCTAACCACTGAGCCTAGGTTAGCCTAGCATAGGTTGTACATCCTGTTGGGGTTACCTTCCCCACAGAGTCTTTGATCAAGGAGGTACTTTCAGGAGACTACACCTTCAATTTAACACATTTATTTTCACACCATTAAAAGAGTACATGTACAGTATTAAAAATCGAATGCATTCGGGAGACAATCAACGAGTATGTCACCTTGATTCTAGCGAGCCGAAAACCCCAAGATTGTCTGGCTTTGAGAGCGCGTACAGTGGATTATAAAGTTTTCCTAGTCCCACCTCTTCCTGGGATGTATCCCATTTTGATTTGTTCAAACTTTTAACAGTGAAGGAGTGGATCTTTTGTATTAGCACAACTAATTGCCAGGTTCCTGCCCTCCTCTGCCTTAGTATCGGACCTTCCCATACTCCTGTTTCGGCTTGGACTTGTTTAATTAATTTTGAGCTGTTCTGAGTAAGATATTGACCTTTTGAGCGGTTCTGAGTAAGATGTTGACGAAGCACAAAATTATGAGGGCCTATTCTCCCTTATCTAGGTATGTAAGCAAAAAGTGTTGATCAAGCATAAACCACAGTGAGTGCAGATTCCTCTCTTATCTGAGCAAAGCCAAGTGCAATGTTTTTATTAATTTTCCTTCAGCATGTAAGCAAAAGTCAAGCATACCATATTTAATTTCCTTCACTACTTTTAAGACTTGTGTGAAAATCTGATTATGTTTTAGGTTGTATTTGTGCAGAAATATCGACAATTTAAAGGATTCACAAACTTTTAATCTGATTGCTAGTTGGACCTTCACATAACTACTTACAACCCCCAGTACAAAATGAAAACAGGAGAAAACAGATAAAAAATGCAGAAAAATAATGTCAGCCTACAGCAGAGAGACTTCAGACAACATCAAGGCCAAACACAGGCGCCATCACACTGGAAGTTACTTTCCGGAACTTTAAAGTTGAGTATAACTTGTTAGCTGCCTTAATGTTGGTATGAGACGTAGTTTATAGTTTTATTTACTTGATTATCAGGGTCGGAGCCAGAGGAGGAGGCAGCAAAAATAGTCCGGCAGAGCGCATCAAACGCAGTGTGTTGGTCGTGCACCCTCCTTTGCACAATATAAAATTATTGCAAGTGCTTCACTGAGCTGACTGGTCATTTCTTTTATTAAAGTTAAGCCACACTTTCGACCGCGCCTGCTCACAATCAATATATGCGCACACACTTCCTGTGGATTTTTCTTCATTGGTGTTCGGCAGGTGGATTCTTCTTTGTTGGTGATCTGGGCGGATTCTTCTTACGGTCCGCAGACTAGGCATAGAAAGTAGGAATTGAAAATAAATTACTTGAACGATTCAGAGAAAACCGGAATGTTAGTCCCAGTTCCAATAGATTTTAGATACTCAATAGCTATGTTTACATGGACATAGTCGGATCAAACGGCCGTTCGGAATAAAAACGCGTCATGTAAACACTCTGTTCAGGTTGTTTTTTGTTTATGCAGTGTGATCCGAAATAATTTGTGATCAGAATGAAACGGGTGGTTTACGCTGATTCATAATCCGAATGGTGCGCATGTAAACGCTTGATCCATTAATTTTTTTCTGATTGTGAAAAACTGACCTGTCTGCGCACGTGCGACTTTGCCATTTCCGCCTGGCTAATGCTAATAATATTAGCGTGTCGGGGAAGCAAAACTGTTCGGTGAGCTACACAACATTTCTACTAGAAACTTTGACAGAGCTCAAAATGATCTGTATTACCTGTAGCTCAGTCATGGAGTGCAGTAACGTCTCCACCATCATTAAAACCTGTCGCGGGTCCATTTTGAGTGCTCAGTTTTGTTTATGTTCATCCCGGAAGTAAACCGGAAGTAGAACTACTACTTCTGTGTTTTTTTTTTAAGGAGAGTTTACCACTCTGCACATGTCAGTACTTCTGTTCAGAACAAAGCCTGCTGCATGTAAACGCTTGTCATGAACAGATTGTGCCCATGTACACGATACATTTAAATTATTTAATCTGAAAACATTTCAATCCGGTCTAAGAATTTTGCACATGTAAACATAGCTAATGCCTAACCCTACTCTTCCACCACCTGAGGGAGAGAATAGGAGCAGGTCCAGCCCCTCAGGTGATGCTATATTAGCTGGAAACGAGCAGACAGGTAGAGCTGGGGAGAAGGGAGGAGCACAGGAGAAGCAGAGAGATGAGCAGGCAATGAGAGACAAGTCTAATGACTTTTGTAACGGTGACCCATGGGAGCGTTCACAGCCTTTCTCAGTATAATTTGCATTTTCTGTTGCTTTAGTTCTTGGAATTAAACAATGTTAAAACTAAAAGAGGTATATTTGAACAAAGCTATATCAAAAGTGTGTGTCTTTTTAACTTGTGATCTTTTTTCTTCAAAACCCTCCAAATATTCTCTGTGAAGGAGTCAGTTTTAGGTGCTTGTAATTCATCATAAATATCTGCTAATTTGAGTCATGCACTGTATTAAAGATTTAAAAACATGGTTTGGGGGATTGGGATGAGCTAAATTGTTCGATATTTGGAACCAGACTGTATTAAAAATGTAATGCATATAATGATCAAATATGAACTATAAATGCTGCCTTATCAATAACAGGTGGTTTGCCTGTTTTATTACCAATCATGTGGGTTTTAATGTTCATGTATTTTTAGAGACAAAGTTCATAAATTGTAATTTATAACTACAACCTTCATAATGAGCAAGTTGATTGTCAATGATAAAACTCCTAAAGGTTGACACAGGAAGAGTGATTTTGCTGTTAAATAACTTTGTTAAATTCAACCGGGTGATATTTAAAATAAAAACTATATCACAGGTGGTCCTTTGTTCAGCACAGAAGAAGTTAAAACTGCAAAAATTTTTGTGTTTAAAATTGTTCTTTTTGTAAGAATATACTGGTATTATCAATGTATATGAACAGACAGACAGAAGATGGCTGTGTGTGTGTGTGTGTGTGTGTTTGTTGAAGTAACATTGTTCCTAATGTATGTGTTTCAGTGGTTCCTGTCCATGTGTGGTGCTGATTAAAAGAACAAGTTCCTCAAGATTGAAGGCCTGATGTGGACCAGCAGGACCCAGAGCCTCTTATCGTAGAGTGGAAGAGAAGATCCTTGGACCAGTGTGGTGGCAGACCAACTCAATATGGAGGAGACCAATATCAGGTTTTTGGTCACTACAGTTCCTTTAAAGAGTGAAGAGGATACTTTTTTTTTAACCAGGAACCCAGATTTAAAGACTCACAAAGACACTTCCAGCTCTTCAAAGACTGACGTTGATGAGGTTGATGAAGAGGATGGGGAAATGACCAGTCCTGACTCTCTGCTGAAGAACTCATCAGACTCTGAATCAGAACTTGAAGACAGCATGAAAGACTGGAAGGAGAGCAGGGCTCCTGAATCAGAGGTAAAAATTGTCAACAAATCTTTGAGCTGCTCTGAGTGTGGTAAGCAGTATGTCAGTAACTGGATTCTTCAAAGACACATGACAAGTCATTCACAAGTGAAGTCTTCAAGCTACCTGCATAATAAGAAATGTGTTGGAGAGAAGAAATATGTAGAGTCACGCATGAAAGTCCAGGCAAGGCCAAAATCATTAAGCTGTGATGACTGTGGTAAAAGATTTACTTGCAAATCAAAATTAAGCACACACATGAGAGTCCACACCGGAGACAAACCGTTTCCTTGTGATTTTTGTGGACAAAAATTTAGTCGGAAGGACAGTTTAGATTCACATATGAGAGTCCATACAGGAGACAAACCATTTCCGTGTGATTTTTGTGGACAAAAATTTAGTCGGAAGGACAGTTTAAACTCACATAAGAGGGTCCACACAGGAGACAAACCGTTTCCTTGTGATTTTTGTGGACAAAGATTTAATCATAAGACAAATTTAAATTCACACATTAGAGTCCACACAGGAGATAAACCATTTCCTTGTGAACTTTGTGGACAAAGATTTAGTCATAAGTCAAGTTTAAACTCACACATGAGAATCCACACAGGAGATAAACCGTTTCCTTGTGATCTTTGTGGACAAAGATTTAGTCGGAAGACACATTTAAACACACACGTGAGAGTCCACACAGGAGACAAACCATTTCCTTGTGATGTTTGTGGACAAAGATTCAGTCAGAAGTCAAGTGTAAATATACACATGAGAGTTCACACAGGCGACAAACCATTTCCTTGTAATCTTTGTGGACATATATTTAATCAGAAGACACATTTAAACAGACACATGAGAGTCCACACAGGAGACAAACCATTTCCTTGTGATTTTTGTGGACAAAGATTTAGTCAGAAGTCGTGTTTAAACTCACACATGGGAATCCACACAGGAGACAAACCGTTTCCTTGTGAACTTTGTGGACAAAAATTTAGTCAGAAGTCAAGTTTAAACTCACACATGAGAGTTCACACTGGAGACAAACCGTTTCCTTGTGAAATTTGTGGACAAAGATTTAGTCATAAGACAAGCTTAAACTCACACATGAGGGTACATACTGGAGACAAACCATTTCCTTGTGAACTTTGTGGACAAAGATTTAGTCATAAGACAAATTTAAACTCTCACATGAGAGTTCATACAGGAGAGAAACCATTTCCTTGTGAACTTTGTGGACAAAGATTTAGTCATAGGACGACTTTAAATGGACATATAAGAGTCCACACTGGAGACAAACCATTTCCTTGTGATCTTTGTGGACAAAGATTTAGTCATAAGACAATTTTAAACTCACACATGAGGGTCCACACAGGAGACAAACCGTTTCCGTGTGATCTTTGTGGACAAAGGTTTAGTCAGAAGTCAGCTTTACACTTGCACATAAGAGTCCACACAGGCGACAAACCTTTTCCTTGTGAACTTTGTGGACAAAGATTTAGTCGGAAGGACACTTTAAACTCACACATGAGAGTTCATACAGGAGACAAACCATTTCCTTGTGATCTTTGTGGACAAAGATTTAGTCGGAAGGCACATTTGAACACACACATGAGAGTCCACGCAGGACTTAAAACTGTTCCACTGCCTAGCCAATAAAAAATTTTCCACCAAAAAAAAGGCACACTAATATTTCGTTGTACCACCTTTAGCTTTGATTATGGCATGCTTTGCTGTGGCATTGTTTCGATAAGCTTCTGCAATGTCACAAGATCTATTACCATCCATCCTGCCATTTTCTTCCGCTTATCCGGGGTTGGGTCGCGGGGGTAGCAACCTAAGTAGGGAGGCCCAGACTTCCCTCTCCCCAGCCACTTGGGCCAGCTTCTCCAGGGGAATCCCGAGGCGTTCCCAGGCCAGCCGAGAAACATAGTCCCTCTTTGGTCTTCCTCTGGGCCTCCTCCCGATGAGGACGTGTCTGGAACACCTCACCAGGGAGGCGTCCAGGAGGCATCCTAAACAGATGCCCAAGCCACCTCAACTGGCTCCTCTCGACGTGGAGAAGTAGCGGCTCTACTCGGAGTCCCTCCCGTATGATCGAGCTTCTCACCCTATCTCTAAGGGAGAGCCCAGACACCCTGCGGAGAAAACTCATGTCGGCCACTTGTATCCGAGCTCTCGTTCTTTCGGTCACAACCCAAAGCTCATGA